TAGGGAATTAAGCACAAAGGAATAGTTGCGATTGAAGTGGTAGATCTAATCGACCCGGCAAATCAACACACCAACTATTGGGGGCTCTGAATCTATAGTCGCCGACTAATCGAGCGAGGACTAGAGACAAGGTGAATGGCACTTGGCAAAATTCAACTAAACAAAACCCAATTGTTTTTGAGGATATACAAAGTTATTTATAGAGGAAAATAAAGCTAGGGTTAAGTGCTAATTTGTGGAGGTGGAGGGAGACACTTCCGGGATGGGCCTAGTCTATTACAAGGCCCAAGGCCCAAGTTCGGTTTCAGCAACAGCACTGTCTTATTTTGGTGATTCCCGTTGACTCGAGATGAATTTGGACATGAAACCGGATGCGTTTGAAAGGTAGCGAGATAAGATTTCCACGAAGTCCAAGATCACCCAAATCGGAGATAGCATGAAGGCGCTAGGTCCGTTTGAAGTCAGTGCTGTCTCCGGAGGCCGAACTGGTCTTGGACTTGAAATTATTATTGGAGCGTGTGAAGTTACGAGCGTATCCGACGAAGTGATGTCCTCATCAACAGGTGGTGTTTACATACTACACCTCCGATTTTAATAAAAGAGTAGAATATTACTGCTACTTTGATCACTCAATTACTTAACTCTGGTAAAGAAAACGTAACCTATTTTCGGCAGCATTTATTTGAATCGATCAACTGTACTACCAAGGGCCTATAAAAATTAAGGATTTGCATGGGGTACGAATTTCATGACCCCGCGTACAAGTTAATTTTCACATACGGCTCTTTCGAGAAATCATCCATCAAAATAAGTTCTAGTTGCCCAAAAAAATATTTTGTATTTTAATAGGCATAGAGTATTGTTCTTTGGGAAGCGCTAAAAGTTTCCAGCATCTGACACATCCTTTCCTAGCTGATCGACTCCATCCCACTCCTGTTTTTACACATTTTGGCGAGGCGTATATAAATCGGACACCCGTTTTTTTAAAAAAATCGGGGTTGTTCCACCAAATAGATCGGAATTGTTTCACTACGTTGATTGAAAATGGTCCAATCGTTTAAAAAGCTTAAATACAACCAAATCACCTCATAAAACATTTTGCTACAGCGCATGAAACAACGGTTTTTGAAGCTATTTCACCGCATATAAAAATAATGTTTCAGCAAATAGCGAAAGGATGTTTCAATTCTCTGCAACATTTGATCTATACATAGTGTAACAATACGAATATACTTGTTGAAACATTATTGGTGAAAAAAAAATGAAACGGATTCCTGTTAATAGAGTGTTTCCGTAATATGTGGCAGATTTATTGCAACAGTGCGTGTGGTGGGGCGCGTGGTGGACGGAGGCGCGGTGCCCCATTTTTTTCGGCGCGGAGGCGCGGGCACCCGATTTGAAGAATTTTCAGACATTCTGGGTAAGAGAATTTGGTCTGTAGTAACAAGTTTTGCCACGCATATTATCCACTTTCCCATGAGTGCTTTGTTCATGACTTTCTGGTCTTATCACCTCTTCAGCTCTTCTCCCATTTCTTTCTCTTAATAATTAGGGACCAGTCCGCCGTATCAACGTTTACCGTTTCTTCTTTGCCATGTGCTTAATTAAGTCCATGGCTCGATCGAGAGCCAGCCCGTCTATAAATACTGCCGAAATTGCATGTATTAATCATCACCTCTACTAGCTAGCTATAGCTCTAGTTCTACTCTAATTGCGCAGTCGATCGAACGTACACTGCCAATCAAATCAACTGCGAGCTTGCAATGGAGAGAGGAGCGAGCTTTGCAGTGGTGATGGCGGCCATGGCGGTGGTTCTGGCCACCACATCGACGGCGCAGGCCCAGACCACGGCGACCGACATCGTCAACATCCACAACGCCGCCCGGAGCGCCGTCGGCGTCCCGGCGCTGTCGTGGGACGACAACCTGGCGGCGTACGCGCAGGGCTACGCGAACCAGCGCGCCGGCGACTGCGCGCTGCGGCACTCCGATCGCAACAACTATCAGTACGGCGAGAACCTGTCGTGGAACCCCTCCGTGCAGGCGTGGACGGCGGCGAGCTCCGTCGACCAGTGGGTGGCGGAGAAGGGCTCCTACGACTACGCCAGCAACAGCTGCGTCGGCGGCGCCATGTGCGGCCACTACACGCAGGTCGTGTGGCGCGACACCACCGCCGTCGGATGCGCCGCCGTCGCCTGCAACGCCAACCGAGGCGTCTTCTTCATCTGCACCTACTTCCCCGCCGGCAACGTCCAAAACCAGAGGCCGTACTAGCTACCGTATACGTATACGTATACGTACGTACGTAACGTATATGCTATGGAATATATTTTGCTACTACTCTAGTATATATTGTACGTATAAATCTTTCTGCTCTCAGTAGATATATATGCGCATATATGTACGAACTACTATGTATGTTCGTATGTATATATGTACGCACATCGATCTGCATGCGTATGCATGATCAGTGTGTTGGATGCAATAAGTACGTCATGATGCAGACGTATTGAGTATCTACAAATACAGATATATATGTATCCGGTGTGTATTTTTATTACAAATTACTCCCTCCGTATTTTAATGTATGACGCCATTGATTTTTCAACCAACGTTTGACTATTCGTTTTATTCAAAATTTTTATCCAAATATAAAATATTTATGCCATGCTTAAAGAATATTTGGTGATGAATCAAGTCACAATAAAATAAATGATAATTACATAATTGTTTCGAATAAGACGAATAGTCTAATGTTAGACAAAAAGTCAACGGCGTCATACATTAAAATATGGAGGTAGTAATAAATAAAGAGCTGTCTGATTTTAGTCACCTGATCCTGCATATATTTGTCGATTTTATTATCGCCAGGTGTTTATCAAAATCGAAGTTTGATTAAGTTTACAGAAATATATAGTAATATTTTCAACAGAAAACAAATATATTATTAAAATATATTTAATGTTATATTTAATAAAACCAATTTAGTGTTTTAGATATTGATAATTTTTTACATAAATTTGTGGTCGAACTTTAAAAAATATTCTATCTTTGATCACTATTTTTTTCATAAAAAATAAAGTTACACGTGCACTGGCTAGTAGCTATATATATAGGTGGGTGCATCCATTGGAATATGGGTAACCATGCTTTCCTGCCGTGTTTTCTTCCTTTCTACCCTGTGACGTTCATCAGCAACAAGTACATGCCCGGATCGACTTAATTTGATCCACTTGATTATTTTGATTAGTAATCGATTTCCCACTGACCAATTCTTACACGTATGTCTAACTAGGTCAGACATCATAGCATGTCGATATTAATTTATCAAATTGCGGAGAAATATTAATAACTTTGTCTCTTATAGGAATATGTCCCCAGCTTGTTGCTTAACTAAATGTCAATCCAAATAATAATCATATATTTTGTTGAAAAATAATTAACAATATAGATCAATATCTAGTATCACTTCACAAACTTTCAAACAAACAAATTGAACTCTAAATAGTACGTACGTACTAGTAGTTATTTTTCAAGGTATATGGTAATGTCAAGAAGTAAATTAGTAATGAGCACTCTAATATTTTACCCCTCGGCCATATAGCTAAAGCTATTTTTTTCTTAGCTACAAAATTAGGTTTTCCCTTACTTTGCATACACTATGAGCTTCCTTGATGCTTTTATTGGGATCGATTTACATGGACACCCTATAGTTTTTTTTTCACCACTTTTCTTTTTTTTTCACCATATAGTTTTTTTAAGTTTATATACCTAAAGTTTATACTTATAGGGTTTACACATCTTTTATAGGTCAAAAGTTTATATACCGATTCAAATTTGAATTTAAATTTAAATACATTTAAAGATGAACTTGAATCTGATATATAAACTTTTGACTTACAAATTTTAGGTCAACAAACTTTAAGTATGTAAACTTTAGATGTGTAAACTTAATAGGTATAAACTTCGGGGGTATAAACTTAGTAAAACAGAAAAGTAAAGTGGTGCCAAAAAAAAAATACCGCGTAGGGCAGAGGAACCGATCGCCCCAAGCAATCAATCGTGCCATAGGAGTTTCGCACCCTATCCTCACGGGCTTCAAGTCTAGCCTGATGAAGGCATTAGATGGGCCTCATCGCCAGCCCATCTATGTAGGCTTGAAATATTAGCTCATACATGCATGTTTGTGGGCTGTAATTCGTTGGACCAGATGAAGCCTATTCAAACTTAGCCCCAATTGGTAGTTTCCCACCATAGGTCAGCCCAGATGTTCAATTCTTTTTGGTAGAGCTTAAAATTGTGAGAATTAACAGATTTGTTCTCAGTTCATGAGAATATGAAAAAGTTAGTTTTCCAAATTTTTGTTATAGTTCATTTTCTGAATTATATATCTACTACAAATTCTTATAATGTGAATGACAATCTAAATTGTTTAGGGAGAGTTAAAGATTCTGAGAGAAGTTGCAGCTGCTAAAAGCTTTTCCCAAATAGACACCTAGGGCCTGTTTGGGGGAGCTTCCAGCTGCTGCAGCTTTTCCCAGAATCAGAAACTCCCCCCCAAACAGTATAGCTTTTGGTACAGATTCTGAGAAGCTATAGTTGCATGGTAGAGCTCCAACTTCTAAATTTAACTCCAGTAGTTGGGTCTGAAGTGGAGTTGTGGAGCTGACTAAACACAGCTCCACATCTCTAGTTCATTTTATGAGAGCGCTCCACCCAGCTTCGCTGCTATTAGGTGGAGCTGAAACTGTTTGGCTGAGCTCCAGTTTTAGGAGAGGTGGAGCTGGTGATGGAACTATGCCAAATAGGCCCAGAATTCAGAAAATGAACAAGAAATTAGAAGCTGGGAAACCAACTTTTACAGATCCTCAAAAGTTGTCTACTAACCAGCTGCTTCTAAGAATCAATTCTTAATTAGTTTCCCCTGGACAGGCCACTAGGACTGTTCCACCACAGCACCACCCAGTCTCTGATTGTATGGTCGTCCTTTCAAATTACATGCAGACAATGGAATTAATTTTCTCATTTATTTTCTTCTTTTATTCGAACGACAACGTACATATATATATAATAAGATCCCCGTAATTATTATTTCGCACATTTATATCATACTCCATACATAGTTAAAGTAAATACTGTATTAATAACTTATTAAGCAGAGAGAGTGAGGCCACGCTCGAAGGGGCGCTCTCCCTGGAAGTTGCCGGCGGGGTTGTAGTTGCAGGTGATGAAGACGCCGCCGTTGTCGCAGTCCACGCGGGCGCAGCCGATCGCCGTCGTGCGGCTCCACATCACCTGCGTGTAGTGGAGGCACGAGTCCCACGACCCCAGGCAGCTGTTGCTGTCGTAGTCGTACAGATCCTTCTCCCCCACCCAGCTGTTGACGGCGTCCGCTGCCGTCCACTCGCTGCCGGAGCCTCCGAAGAGGTTCTCGCCGTAGCCGGCCTTCTCCCAGCTGCCGGAGTGGATGAGCGCGCAGTCGCCGGCGCGCTCCGCCGCGTAGTTCTCCGCGTACGCCGCCACGGCGTCGTCCCAGACCACCTCGCCGACGCCCTCCACGCGTCGCGCCGCGTTGTGGAGGTCCACGAAGTCCTGCGGCGAGTTCTGCGCCACCGCCGGCGTGGTCGCCATGGCCAGAACGACGGCAATGGCTGCCGCAAGTGCTACTCCCGATATCTTTGGTGTCTCCATATGCAACACTACTACACAATTTGCTCTCTTAATCGATTCCGATTGTGTGTGTGTTCGTTGAATGCTGATGCGATATTACTCGCGATCGATCAAGGTATATATTTATAGCCAGATGAGCTCCCAAGATGTCAGCAAAATAAATCGATTATTAATCCTACAATTTGCATGGCAACTTGGCAAGTAGCCATGATGCTTGGCTCTGCTCGGCGAGAGCGGATTAATTAGGATAAAATAAAACTCTCCTGGCCTCACTCTCATTTCTTTTTATTAATTGATTAATTGTTAATGATTTTGTGTTTGGTACATGCATGAATGCATGCGACGTGTTCTTTTTCTTTTCTCCTATTTTTTTTGGGGGTTGCCGTCGTTGAATCGTAGTCATTGGAGGACGCAGCACGTTGCTCATGTGCTCGACGGCTAAGGCGATTATATCGATCCGACGAGGCATGTCTTATCTTTGATTGGTGGACTAGTTCCTTAATTGATTGATCAACTGATCAGTTTGGCATATAGGCTGTATTATTAGTATTTTATATACATACAATATTATTTGGTGCAACTTGTTGTGAAGATATATATAATTTCAGTGTTTCAACAACTAAATTTTAAATATTTAATCAGTTGTAAATGATGATTTTTATGCCATCAGAAAACCCAACCTTAATTTAGTTTATGGAACAAACCACAATGGTTACTGAATAACATTTCTACATTTAGAAACAAAGTCCACCTAAGCATTCGTGATCGGATCAAGGGATCCATCCAAATCATGTGGGGTATGGGTCAATATTTGGTGGGAAATTTCTCCATCTCCATGCTGTCTGAAAGAATTCTATAAGGCCAAGTAGCCAACTTTAAATAATTCATGCATACCAGCAGGTGCAGAGTTTTTCGATTCCTAGTGGGTGTGGGTCACCCTAGGAAAGAAAAACGAAAGATCAATATTCAAGAACGGAAGAGATATGTCAGCAAATTAAGCACATCCTCGTTGCGTGTTTGCTAAGCCTTCATTATTCCAAACAACCACTAGGATCAATATAATAAGAGTAAATTGCATATTGGACCACCTTTCCTCAGTATTTTTTTATAATATATATTAAACCTAGCCTTTACTTCAATCACAGCTACAACCTCTTATTATATGGTTCTTGACACAAAGTCCAAATAGAATAGAATGAAATAAAGGTAAATGAAAAGACGACACAACGACAGTAACCAAATAAAAAAAAGAAATTTATTCAAAGCTCAAGTCTAATGCTAAATCTCTATCCAAACTTGAAGAAAATATATATGTATAACAATTGATTCTAATTAAATCCTGGCATGCAGCATTTATGATCTTCATGTCCTCTTCACACCTTTGTAGTTAGCCTCATAATCGAAACCAATACATATGTTGCTCTGAATAATACCTGGATACAAGATTTAGTTAGAGTTTTGTAAAACCATATTATTTTTATGAAGCCATAAAATCTAAAATAATGTAGATGCTTCTATTAGAATATGTTTCTCGATCTTTAAGCCTATGCCAACTAGCCAATTTTCAAACATATGTACAAATAAAAATATGCGGCCTTACGTTCAGTAAGAGTGAATCGATCTGGCGCCTTAATTAAGTTCGGTAATTAATAAGTTGATTATAGAAGTACGTACTTAAAAAAAGCAGGATTAATATAATGATATGTATGCTGAAAAAAACAGGTTCCTCATTATTTTACCCATTAAGTCGATAAGGGTGTTGCTAGTCCGCGCGTGCGCGCCAACGGCTGGCGCGTCCTCCCGGCTCCCCAAGCCATTTTTTTCTCTTTTTTTACGATTTTTTTCGTTTTTTTCCTTTTTTCGATTACTTTTTTAATCTTTTTAGCACACATATTTTTTCGAATGTTTTGAGTTGAAAGTTTTTAAATCTTGACTTAAAAATTTTCAAATCTTAACTTACAAATTTTCAAATCTGATTTGCAAGTTTTCAAATCTCGAGTTAAAAGTTTTTAAATCTGGGTTGAAAGTTTTTCAAATTTGAGATGAAAGTTGAAAGTTTTCAAATCTAGGTTGAAATTTTTCAAATCTTGAGTTGAAAGTTTTCAAATCTGGGTTGAAAGTTTTTAAATTTGAGATGAAAGTTGAAAGTTTTCAAATATCAAGTTGAAAGTTTTCAAATCTGAGTTGAAAGTTTTTAAAATTTAACTTCAAAGTTTAAATCTTAAGTCAAGTTTTCAAATGTAACTTAAAATTTTTTAATCTATTAGTAAAAAAAATCTCCCAAAAAAAATATTTCCTTAGTTACTACCATTATCCTTAAGTTACGTTACTTTAAAAAAAAGGCCACGAGAAAAAAAATCCTGATCTTAACAGCATCAACGGCCGCGTGGGCCGTGGGCCGACATGGCGTACTAAATCAGCTTTCTTAAAAAATCTGGCCCAAAAAAGCCCATATTTACATGGACTAGTTTTCGGCCCATCCACCTGTGCATAGGCTTGACATACAAGAGGACAGGCCGAATATAGGCCCATACAAACGAGGCCCAGATTGTGTCGGCCCAGGCGTTCCTCATGCTGCAAGTGTTCCACCACTGAGTCACTGACAGTGGGTCCCCTCAATGCGGACCTCGGGCCCACTTGCAGCCACACACGCACGCCCCGCAACGAGCACACGGGAAGCGACAAGCGAGCGACCGATCCCCAATTCGCCGCGCGCGCGCACGGCGGCGGCGGCGAGCCGGCGACCTCCCCCTCCGCCGCCATGGACGGCCGCCGCAACGGCGAGCACCAGCCGACCCGGTGGCCGCCGGGTGCGGGGGTGGAGGAGAGGGACAACGCCTCCTCCTCCCCCGCCTCCATCCTCCTCTTCGCCCTCATCGGCGCCACCGCCACCACCGCCGCGGTACGTGCGCGCACTCTCCCCCCGCATCGCTCGAGCCCCACTCCGAGCGGCGATGGCGGCGGTGATTCACTCTAGCTCACTGGGAATCTAAAACGATTAAGCGGTTTATGTTTTCTGTGTTGGCTATTACTGCGTCCGGATTTGTGATTTTGTGCATTCGTCTTGTGGATTTGTAGTTTGGTCAGCTGCGCAGGACGATGAGCTGGTTCTACACGCAGGTACACCGAAAATGCTTCTCATTCGGCTTTTGCCATGGGTTCATAAGCTGCATGGCTCTACATGGAAAATTTGGGCGAGAGGTGTTAATATTTTGTAGTTTGAATGAAGCTTAGTAGGTCGGAGCCTTATGTGTACTGGGAAGACATACCACGTCGACCGAATCGGCGTGGTGAAGCCTGGGGCCAGTATTACCAGAGGATGCGCGAGAAGAGTGAGGATCAGAGGGAGAGAGTGGTCAGTTCCCTGCTCTCCCATCAGACATCATTTGGCATTTGCATTTCAATACTTATGTTTATCATTTCAGTACTCCTGCAAAGAAAAAAAAACGTGTTGGATTAGGATTATACCTCAATGATTGTCCATGGTCTTTACAGATTAACTCATAAAATACAGACGTTGCTTTAGAGATTTATGAGCTGCCGATATTGACGATCACCTCATGTTGTTCCTAAATAAACTATATATCTTAGTAATGTATGGTAAATATACATGGTCAAGAAAATATTTGGTAAATATATCTAAAATATGCCTGAGAAAGAAAACAGCCTTGTTACTATTTGGTGTTGCTCTGTATTCACACGCCGGTATGTTTCAACTAATCCTCAAGCAGCATTAGTGCTTTATGTAGGAACGCATAAGGCACATGCAAGATATGTTCAAGAAGGAGAGAAGTAAATGTCGGGATTACCGAACTCGGGATGGCCATAATCCAAGCTACTATCAGAATAGTCGAAGAGAGGAGTGGTACTGGGATGCAGAGTCATTTTATGCTAACCAAAGAACAAATTTCAGATCGATGCCCAGGGAAGCCATGGGTTACACTATGTCACAGCACTACTCTATCTTGGGTCTTGACAGGTATGAGTGCACTCACTTTTGCAGCAATACTTAGTATACCTGTCAGTTCGATGTACTGCTCCCCTCAAAAAGAAATTGGATGCCATGATATGCTAGTTTGTTAAGTATTTATTATTTTGTTGGCTCTTATACACTCCTGTAGTCCTGTTTCTGATCTCGTGGTCAGTAATCAACCATGAAACTGTACGATGGGCTTGCAAGTTTTTTTGAGAATACGCATAAGCTGTGCATATCTTTGTATTGAGATTTGAGAGGATCACAGCAAGTTTACATTGAATGAAACCACGATGGGCATGTAATGTACTAATTGACCAGCTATTCTGAGTTTTCTCCTATGCTGATTACTCACTACCTTCAAATCATTACATAAACACACTGTATGGTCATTTCGTATCTTAGGTATTTCCCTTAACAAAGTTTTCTGCCTTTTATTTGACAGGTCAAGATTGGAGCCATTCTCAGATGCTGAAATTAAGGTGTGTGCCTTATTTTACCAAGTATTTTTATTTCTTGCAAAAATCACGGCAGGAAGATTGCCATCGTGCTCTAGTATATTCTATAGCGTTAAATTCATATGTTTAGACAAGAAAAAAAAGTAACTAAAATACATCCTTTCAGGCACATAGAGGATCACTAATTTACTAGAACATTCATCTATTCTTTATACAGGATAGCTAAGTTAGGTAATGAGGCATGCCTGCAGAAGAAGGCATTTTCCTGTTCAATTTATCACTTATCCCCTGTTAACTGTTATGTGCAACTCTGAAAATTCAATGATCATTGGTACACTGTAAAACTTGGCTAATATGTTGTTTACATAGTTCTCTTTACTACTATGATCAGCAAATCTTTTGGGAATCTGGATGTCTTGCTTATTTTCTTTATGGCGTGCATTCCAGAATGCATTTAGGAGAAAAGCGATGGAGTATCATCCAGATCAAAACCAACATAACAAAGGTGAATGCAGCTCCTCTCCTGTATGTAAAGCTAACATGTGTCCAATACATATGTCCTGATATTTTGTCCATTTTATTTCTGTCAGAGTTTGCTGAGGCAAAATTCAAAGAGGTCATGGATTCCTATGAAGCAATAAAATTAGAAAGGCAAAATGGAAGTTTATGAATGCGCTCACAATGGAGGGCTGTTGTATATAAGGCGTTTGACACAAGATAAAACATGTCTTAACCTTGATTGCTGTTTTGCTTCTTTTTTCACTATTTATGTAAGCAACAACAAATAGTTATCTGTTGTGGGTGCTGAACCGCAGATTGTTGCCAAGATATCTAGCTGTCAGACCAGCTGTTGTAGGACATGCTGTCCTTGATAAAAATCCTCGTGTAGAAGTTTTGCTCTCACAAACAAAAGGCAGAATTTTGACTTTTCACAACGAGCAGATTTGCTGTCTTTTTTTCAGCATGCCTGAGAATGTTAAGTGTTACAGTGACAGTCCATGGTTCATAGTTAAAAATTGACTCTAGGTTTCAGTGAGTTCAGAGGAATGGGTGGTGCAATTGTTGTGAGTTCAGCTCTTGGAGCTGAGAGCTCCTAAAGAAGTTCAGACTTCCGGACCCATCATTTCGCTTATTCGGGGAATAAGCGAAACAGCATATTTGTAATCGAAAAATAATTTGTGAACAAAACTTTTATATACATGTTCTTAGCGTTCTAAAAGCAAAGTCTTAAAAATAAACTTCGATGATAAAACCCCAAAATCAACTCAAAATTCAAGATCAAAAATTCAAATTTTGGCTGATAAGCATAAGTATAAGTGAAAAGATGAGGCATTTCTTCAGTATGCTTAAAGGAGTAAATTCAGATAGATTTTTTTTTCTCTAGGTACATAACATTATACGACCTTTATAGCCCCTATTTTCTACTTTTCTGTACATTACTCATACTGTGATACTGGCATACAAGATCATGTGGAGAAGATCATACCATCACAACTCATACCAGTATTCTTCAGGAAACATGAGTTAAAGCATCACAGAACAAGATAGCAGGCAACCGTTGGTATCTCTGAAACGCATGTTCTCGTGTTTGTCACTGATGCTATTATCTGAAGAGATCACTTTCTACAGTCTGTCCTGTTACTGCTTTTGTACTACCATGGTAATAAGAACAGAACTTGCGGTGCTTATTCTCCTTGTTCTGCATAAACTGTAATACTTGTTCTCCTCAAACCTTTTCAACTAGGTCTCAAAGTCGAAGCCAATAAAGAAGACAGCATGTCATTGCCAAAGTTCTGAAATCGAACTCAAAAGTCTCAAATGGACTGACCAAAAATCTGACGCATCAGTAGGGCAATCTTAACAAGATTATAAGCTTTGGATCCATGATTAGCTTTGGATCCATGATTAGACATGGTTTTTCACAGTTTGCAGATCCGACATGAATCCTCCAGCCCAGGTACAATTCTCACGAGATGCTGTCTGTCCCAAAACAAGCTTGATGTTGCAGATAGAAGGGAACAAAGAAGACTGATGATCTGATCTGATATGGGACAGAGACGATGGGTCACATACAGAGAGGAAGATCTGATAATATGGGGAAGGGTTCAGTGAATGGGGAACACTGGATGATCAATCACTCTGCAGCCATGGATGTCTAGTTTGTCCTGTCCAGGTACAGCTACAGTTTCTTCCTTACTCTCTACTCCATCAAGATGCTATGCATCTCTATACATGGAGATCACGCTCTAGAATGGGTTTTCTAGCTTGTTGAGTTGTGACAGGCAAGTTGCAAACAACAAAAACTACAGAAGGTCACAGGATTCTTTTGTCTCGTATTTTCGTTCCATTGCACTCTTCTACAAGATTGATTATAATCTATTCCCTCCGTTTCAGGTTACAAGGCGTTTTGACTTTAGTCAAAGTCAAACTGTTTTAATTTTGACTAAGTTTATAGACAAATATAGTAATATTTATAATACTAAAGTAGTTTCATCAAATCAATAATTAAATATATTTTCATAATAAATTTGTCTTGGGTTAAAAATGTTACTGTTTTTTTTTTATAAACTTAGTTAAATTTAAAGTAATTTGATTTTGACTAAAATCAAAACGTCTTATAACCTAAAACGGAGGGAGTACAAACTTATCATGGGCACGTTTTCCCAGTTTCTAAGTGGTACATCGTCTATAGAAACTTTCTTCGTAAGATTTCTTATAATACCTTTTGAATTAGCCTATCAACTTTCTAATATTTAACTCTTTGATAGAATTTCACTCTTAAAATTGTTAGAAATTTCAACTTTTTTTTTTCTTACGGCTAAAATATAATGACTTTTGAGTTAAGATTGTTACTCATGTACAATTTTTTTAAAAAATGGTGAAATCCATTAATCGGTGTGTACGATACGTACGCAAAAAGCTTGTGTATGTAGGATATGTTGTCCATTTGTACTATTAATAATTATAAACTTGGTTATCCATAACCTGTAATCTGTCGGAATGCAGTACTACTCTTGCCTTCCCCCTTGAAAAAGACTTTAGGTGAAGCTTGAGGGTAATATAAACATAATAAATTAAATCGGCATGGGCATATTACTGGTAACTACTAATGGTTTTGTACTGAATTACGTGAGCATATATAATGTCATCATCAGGGAACAAAGGCAGTAACATGATTTCTGTTAAGTTTAGTACGGTTTCTTTTCAAATACGCGTATACTGTACATTTCTATGTTGTACAATGTACAGTACACTGACACGCATATCCTGTGTACATTTCTATGTGTATTCTCGAATAAAATACGACTAGTAGGAGTATGTGTTAATGTGCACGTGGCAGCACGCATGCAGCAGAGCAGCTGGTAGCACGAGCAGTAATCCACTTGTTGATTGCGGCACTAGTACATCCAAGATGGATCGGATTGACTCATGCCACGTGGCATATGTGACCTGGGTTTCAAGACACGTGTCTCAACGGTACGACACCAAACCATGTGTAGGGGTAGGCAACCGAACCGAAAAAGCGAGGCCAATTTGAAACTATTCGGTCAATTTGACCAGCTGTAGGGGTGGGCATTCGATGTAACCGAAAATTTCGGTTTCGGTCTTTCGGTTTTTTCATCTTTAAAATGTGAAGACCAAATTTTAGCGAAAAAATATCAGGACCGATAAATTCGGTCTCGATCTCAGTCCTGACCGAAATTCAATAACATTTTTATATATGCAAAGAAATAATAGAAATTTTTAACACAAAAATCACAAAAACAAATTCGTAAGCACCTAATGAGTAAAGACTTTTATTAGGTTGTATTCCTAGAAGAAGTAGGGATGCGAAAATTAGAGTTTAATCCTATTAAACATAGTGGATCGTAGGTTGCATTTAGACATTTTTTGATAATTCGGTCTTTTCGTTCTATTCGGTTACCCGAGGAGACTAACCGAATTTACTGAACAAAATTCGGTCTTTCACTACCTAGGACCGAATTTCTCGGTCTTGGTCTTTTCGATCTCGGTCTCGGTATTTTCGGTTTGGTTTTTTTTGCCCACCCCTAACCACCTGCGGTAAAACCGAATCGACAAAAAAAAAGACTGGAAATTACCCAAATAGAATCAGCCGGCCTACTAGCAATGCTAATCCAGTAAAAACTGTTGGATAGGAGAGGAATACTGCGAATATTGGACCATATTGTATTAAGCCTCTGGGGCCAGTATATATAGAAATACATGGATTGTATCTTAAATAAACTCAGAGAGATAGAGATGGAAACTAATCATATCATGCCATAACAAACCGATATAATACGATCGTATCCATATACTCTAACAAAAACCCTATAATACCTATGCCACTTGCCATCTCCTCGCGGTCGCCATGCACCGCATCGATCTCCTCCTCTGGCCCATGTGGATAGAGGATCAGAGGTGAATATGGACATATGCTTGTCTAAATTCGTAGCTAGGATTTACTTTTTTCTGGGACATAGTATATTTGTAATGAGGTGACATGGTAAGTAACGAGATTAAATCGTCACATCAGTTGAAGTGGCCTCACGAGGATGCACATACCATAACGAACGCACCATAGCCTTTGACTAGGGATGCAAGCAGACAAACCCATGAACCAGCTTATAGGTAAAACTAATAGGTAACTCGCGGGTTACCTACTAATTTGACTCATAAATAGGGTTATGGATTGATCCATTTATATCTCTAGATGTGGTAAATCGGACCACGATATGAAAACTTATGATGAGTACCACCTATTTAACCTACAAGTGGATTTGTGGGGCGATCCGCTGACATCCCCTAACGAATGCATTGTGCGAATAATGTCGTTATCTTTTTTTTTTTGCCATTCAAGCTAGGAAGGGAGTGCTAGGAGGATTTCCCTATATTGATTATTCTATTTTTGTAAATTCTACCGGTAGTATTACTAGTATTTTGTTTGGTTTTGTCTATCTGACAAGCTGGTCTCCTAGATGGATAAGAGTACGGATACAGTTGCCGGGGTAGTACCAATAAGGGCAAGTTTAGCCTGCGAAAAAAAAAATTAGGTGTCACATTGGATGATTGATCGGATGTCGGAAATGGTTTTTACACACGAATAAAAAAACTAATTTCATAATTCGTCTGAAAATCACGAGATTAATCTTTTAAGCCTAATTAATCTGTCATTAGCACAGGTGTGTTACTGTAGCACTTATAGCTAATCATGAACTAATTAGGCTCAAAAGATTCGTCTCATAATTTCCTTCTAGCTGTGTAATTAATTTTTTAATATATATTTAATACTTCATACATTGTATGAGTTTAAATATGCGATTTGATGTTTTTTGAAAAAAAAAATTGGGAACTAAATCAGGCCTAAACTTCTGAACCGGATAGAGTAACACGTCTGCAATGTGGGTCCCACCGCCAGCTGTGCAATCCCGTGAATTTATCTTGTGCTTGCAAGTTTGCAGGCAGCAATAAACAATATGTGAATACATCTCCGTTCAAAAAAAAAAGTGAATACATCGCATTTTCATTTCAACAGGAGACTCCGTGGCAATATCCAATATGGTCGTTTATATCCACTAATATACACAGCTCAAGGAAGAAAAAAATCTAGCAAGAAAATTAGTATAGAAAAGAGAAAACACTAAAAGAGCGTGAAAAAAATTACAGTAGTCGTGTTTTGATTTTTTTTTTCCTTTTTTATAATGTAATTCAATCCAGCATAGTTATGGTTTGATATTCCAAATGAAGGAATCGCACTAAATTTTAGATTGCTGGAAGAGAAGGTTAAAAGGCTGAGTTCTAAGCTCTTACTAGGAACTGTTATTTTCTCATTTTCTGGACATGTTTTCTAATTATTAAATGGCGTGTTTCGTGTAAAAGTTATCTAATATTAAGCTTAAGAAGATCAAATAAATCTATATTTCAAGTTCATAGTGATTAAAACTGGATTAATCATATGCTAATAACTTAATATTGTTTTGTGTGCTGCCAAAAAATCCAAGATGAACTCTGTTCTGAACTCAACCTTTGAAGTGTAGGGTGAATAGATTTAGATTGTCGAGTTGAACAACGTCCAAATTTCAGATTTAGGATTGATTTTCGGACCGGTGGAATTTCATGGTCATATAAAAAATGTACTAATCCTATAAATTTTCGTAAAAAAAAAAAGCAACTCTTGACTATGAACATGAACATGTACACGTCCATAGTTAAGTTAACTTTTTAAGTTGTGGGCGCAGATACACTTTTGGATTCCACTAATATTCCACAAAGCCATGCACCTCCCGCGCCATTAAATCATTCAATTAAATTCCATTATTATTATTATTATTATTATTATTATTATTATTATTATTATTATTATTATTATTATTATTATTACTTCTCTCTCTCTTCCTCCTTGCTTCTTCTTCTTCTTGAGCATTTCTGCCATTGCTTGCAACGGCGGCAGTGGAGGTCGCATTGGCGGAGAGGAGAGTGGTGGGCGGAGGCAGCTCCGGTTGATGGGCATTGGCAGCTCGAAAGAAGGGGAGCCCCAGGAATAGTGTGCGTTTGTGTGTCAGTGAAACCTTGCTATTTTGGGAGCTCAGCGAGTGGCGGGACTGTCGTGTCGTGTCGTCGAGTGTTCGTCCCGCTCACCGCCGCGTGCATGGCGCCGTGGAGCGGCTTCTGGGCCGCCAGCAGGCCCGCCCTCGCCGCCGCCGCCGCCGGCGGCACGCCGGTCGTCGTCAAGATGGACAATCCCAACTGGTCCATCTCCGAGATCGACGCCGACGGCGGGGAGTTCTTGGCCGGCGGACGGCGGCGAGGCAGGGGCAAGAACGCCAAGCAGATCACCTGGGTGCTGCTGCTCAAGGCGCACCGCGCCGCGGGGTGCCTCGCGTGGCTCGCCTCCGCCGCCGTCGCGCTCGGCGCCGCCGCGCGCCGCCGCGTCGCCGCCGGGCGGACGGACGACGCCGACGCCGAGACGCCGGCGCCGCGGTCCCGGCTCTACGCGTTCATCAGGGCGTCGCTCCTGCTGTCCGTCTTCCTCCTCGCCGTCGAGCTCGCCGCCCACGCCAACGGCCGTGGACGCGTCCTCGCCGCCTCCGTCGACTCGTTCCACTCCTCGTGGGTGCGCTTCCGCGCCGCCTACGTCGCCCCGCCGCTCCAGCTCCTCGCCGACGCCTGCGTCGTGCTCTTCCTCGTCCAGAGCGCCGACCGCCTTGTCCAGTGCCTCGGCTGCCTCTACATCCACCTCAACCGCATCAAGCCTAAACCCATCTCCTCGCCGGCGGCGGCGGCGGCGGCATTGCCCGACCTGGAGGACCCCGACGCCGGCGACTACTACCCCATGGTGCTCGTCCAGATACCAATGTGCAACGAGAAGGAGGTATACATACAAGCACAAACACCTCTCACAAATTGCCCCCAAATATCCAATTTCTCACCAAAACATTCCAATTTTGTTCAATTTCAGGTGTATCAGCAATCGATTGCGGCGGTCTGCAATCTTGATTGGCCGAGGTCCAACATCTTGGTGCAAGTGCTAGATGATTCCGATGATCCAATTACGCAGTCATTGATCAAGGAAGAGGTGGAGAAATGGCGGCAGAACGGCGCGCGCATTGTGTACCGCCACCGCGTGCTCCGGGAGGGGTACAAGGCCGGCAACCTCAAGTCGGCGATGAGCTGCAGCTATGTCAAGGACTATGAGTATGTCGCCATCTTCGATGCCGACTTCCAGCCATACCCTGACTTCCTCAAGCGCACCGTGCCGCATTTTAAGGTGAAATTCAGTGGCCGAATCATGTGGAATTGTGTGCATTGTTGATAAGATTCTGAACGTGATCAGTTGCATTTGATGGTTGCAATGCAGGACAATGAGGAGTTGGGGTTGGTTCAGGCTAGATGGTCATTTGTGAACAAGGATGAGAACCTCTTGACACGGTTGCAGAACATAAACCTGTGCTTCCACTTTGAGGTGGAGCAGCAGGTCAATGGCATATTCATCAACTTCTTTGGGTTCAACGGCACGGCTGGCGTGTGGAGGATCAAGGCGCTGGAGGACTCGGGAGGCTGGATGGAGCGTACTACGGTGGAGGACATGGACATTGCGGTCCGCGCACATCTCAATGGCTGGAAGTTTGTGTTCCTGAATGATGTGGAGGTGAGGAGCACAATGAATTGCATCAAAAAGTTGTATTGCCAAACCATTGGGATCATGTTGCTTGATTACGTATTTTGTGCTAAATTGTTCATTTTGTCTTTGGACAGTGCCAGTGTGAACTACCAGAGTCTTATGAGGCTTACAGGAAGCAACAGCACCGCTGGCATTCAGGGCCAATGCAGCTGTTCAGGCTATGTTTACCGGACATCATTAGATGCAAGGTATTTCCATGTGCTGTATTCGTATTGCATAATTGGTTGCAGTGTCAATGCTTCTTTTAGATAATAATAATAACAGTGTTAGTACTTGTCTGTGATCATACATACGACCAAGCTCACAAATTTGTACTGGTGCATTTATATGTAGCATATGTTAGCATTGTACATTTGAGGTACATACTTATGAGAATAGGTTGCCTTGCGTACGATATGCCGTTTCATGATGGATTCCTTAGTTTATCCGTAAAATTTTGTCAGCTAGATCTAATAATTTTAGAAGATACTACTGCCAGTTGATAGTATAGTCCAATTTCAGATATCCCAAAGTACTACTACCTGTATGTACTTCATTATAATTGTGTTAGCTTTGTTGTTTCAGATTGCATTCTGGAAGAAGGCCAATTTGATATTTCTCTTCTTCCTGCTTCGCAAGCTCATCCTGCCCTTCTACTCCTTCACACTTTTCTGCATCATCCTACCAATGACAATGTTTATACCTGAAGCTGAGCTTCCTGACTGGGTTGTCTGCTACATTCCTGCCCTGATGTCCTTCCTTAACATTCTTCCCGCGCCAAAATCATTCCCGTTCATCATCCCGTACCTGCTCTTCGAGAACACCATGTCTGTCACCAAGTTCAATGCAATGATCTCCGGGCTGTTCCAGCTCGGAAGCGCATATGAATGGGTAGTGACCAAGAAATCAGGCCGATCATCGGAGGGTGATCTTATCGCATTGGCACCCAAGGAGCTGAAACAACAGAAGATCCTTGATCTCACAGCAATCAAGGAGCAGTCCATGCTGAAGCAATCCTCTCCAAGAAATGAGGCCAAGAAGAAATACAACCGGATATACAAGAAGGAGCTTGCCCTCTCATTGCTTCTCCTGACCGCCGCGGCTCGCAGCTTGCTTTCGAAACAAGGGATACACTTCTACTTCCTGATGTTTCAGGGATTGTCATTCTTGTTGGTCGGCCTGGACCTCATAGGTGAGGATGTCAAATAATTAAGCTCTAGTGTAGACAAAAACAGAAGATGTTGAACAGCTTGTCCATCATGAAAATGTGGTTGTACTTTTGTTAAGGTGTAGGAACTAGGAATCAGATGCGAATGATCGTTCGGAGGATTAGTCTGTGACTGTAAGTCATGTGTAGATAGTTAATTAGTCCTTGGCATGTAAATCAGTTAGTTGTTTCAGGCCACTTGATTCTTTTGTAACTATTTTGGTGCTCAGGTTTTAGGTTGCATTACAATCCAAGATATGTTTTCCTCCTATCTGAATCTGATCGATGCATGGGGCCGAGAAAACATCCCAGATCTCAAGAGTGATGTGCAGAGCTTATGATTCTCTTCACCTGTTCTGAATTGTTTCAGTCATGCTGATCAATTCAATGCATCTGTTCAGAATTCAGAGTGATGCTGATCAATAACAAGCTACATTGCACATGTCCTGAACCTGGAAGAACAAGTCTACTCATGCACAGCTAGAGAGTTGAAATGCAACTGCATTAGTACAGATAGCATCAAATATTTTGCACTGTGTTTTGGCTGGATGAGCTGTGATGAGTGAGTGAACAGGGAGCAGTTAGTGGTTGCTGTGAATCTGTGATCGGTTGCACTGTACTACTACTTTTTTTTCTTGGCTTTGCCTTATCTGCACTGAAGTCTGAAGGTGACACTGCTACTGCAGTACAGCTTATCATCGTCCTGTGATCCGGTGAGATCATCTCACATGACTGCAGTCATATTGGTTTGTTGGTTGGTTCATGGTTGATTGGTTTTCAGTTTTCAGCTGCATTTGGTTGAACTAGAAAAAGAAAAAAAAGTCTCACTTGTTTGCCATTCTGCTGAATTACTGCTGCTACATTCACCTAGTTTGGGCCAGCCCATTCAAGCCAATCCAACACGGCCCAGCCCAATCATTCAGAAACATTCAGATAAAACCAGAGTTGACTGACATGTGGGTCCCCCTTGCAGTGAGTCTGGCTTTCAGTTTCAGGCCAAGAGCTACTTAAGCTTGCAAGAACAAGGGGATTGAGAAATTAATTTGGTGAGGCTATAATTAATTAATTAATTAATATAAGATATATAGTTTTGGATTTTGGAGGAGAAGCACCGCCTCGATAGATCTCCGGCCTCCGTGTTACAAAAACCCTTCTTCTCCGGCGCCGATCGAGCTCTCTGATACATGGCGGCCGGCCGTCGCCGGAGAAGAAGGAAAGGTGGGGGAGAGGCCGCGGCCATGGCGTGCGTCGGTTTCCTCGCCTTGAGTGATACTAATTAATACTCCAACTAGCTGCTAGTGCTACTACTACATCGCTAGCTTAGCTAATCATGTCGCCGAGCAACCAAGAACCCTAAATTAACCAACTAAACACGAGCTAATTAAGCTAGTGTCGTCGTCGTCGTTGCCTAGCTCTAGCTATAGCTAGCTAATTACTACTCCGGTGAGCCATGGCGGCGAGGGTGATTAGGCGTCGGTCCAGGCGGCGAAGAGGGGCATGTGGGCGATGGAGACGGCGGGCGGCCTGGCAGACGCCGGCGGCGAGGAGACCCAGGAGCCGAGCGGCAGCGGCGCCGCCATGAGCTTGGTCGACGCCTGCTGCTGCGCCGACGCCGCCACGGCGGGCGACGGCTTGGCGAAGAGCATGGAGAGGCCGCCGCCGCGGTCGGGGCTCCCCTCGCGCGAGTTGCTCAGGCTCGTCACCAGCGACGACGCCGCCGACATGGACATGTGCTGCTGCTGCTGCTGCTGCTGGTGCGCCGCCGCGGCGTCGACGGCGACGAGGTCGTGGAGGACGGAGAATGCGGCCTGGTCGGCGCCGGACAGCACGACGTCGTCGTGGTGCTGCTGCTGCTGCCTCGGGGCAGTGGTGGCCTTCCAGAGGGTGTCGGCGACGGCGATGTCGGCGGCGGAGTGCACCGAGACAATGGCGCCGGCGCCGGCGGCGGAGTGGTCGTCCTTGGAGGTGGTGGTGGCGGCGTTGCGGCGGGCGAGGTCGGCGGGGAGGAGGGTGTTGCTGGCCATGATCTTGTCGACGTCGTAGCGGGTGATGTCGAAGTTGGTGACGGCGTTGAGCCCCCGGAACTTGATCGCCGCCACGTCGTACGCCTCCGCCGCCTCCTCCTGCGTGCCTGCATCCATCCATCCACAAATTTTACCATCCTTCGAGATATCTGAATTTTACACTATAAAATTTTATACCTACAATCGAAAATATTTAATTTTACACTAAAAATGTGATGTGCTACGATAAGCAAAATATTTAATTTTACATTTAAAAAATGTGATGCGCTACGATAAGCAATGCAAAAAGACACGAATATTAGAAATGACCTAATATCAAATAATTAGAAGGGGTGAGGTTTCGAATCCAGATCATCTAATTAACCCACGACCTTGTGAAGTTAGCAGGAAGATCCCTGAGATAACCGCAAAATATGCAATGCATATGTTACGTAAAAAATGGTCAAAGAAAGCAGGGAAGAAAGCAAGCAGGCGCGTGCGATGGCTGGACAGTGTAAAAACTAGAAAGGATATGCAGATGCAGGCCCAGGGAATGCATGCATTTGCAAACTAGGTCGGTCAGCCTTATGCAAAAGTGAGAGAATCGCAGCTGCACGCACAGGCCCATACACACATTCATCTCTCTCATTCTCTCTCTCTCTATCTCTCTCTCTCTCTCTCTCTAAGATTAGTGTAGAGAGAGAGAAACATTCTTTGGCAGGGAGGCATGATGCACATGTAAGCTTTAGACGATCTAGAGAGAGAGAGAAGAGATAGCCAGCTTTTGCGTTGCGTTGCATGCGATCGATGGATGGAGGTATGAAATGGAGTATTATAGTATATGCAAAATTATGTGACATGCTAATGATCATTGTGACAGGACGGGGTTGTGCCCCTGGAGCATGACAGCCTCCGCATGCAAACGCAATGCCCACGCAACCTCTCATCGTCTCTCACATTGCATCCATATAAACATAAGAGGAAGTTTAATATTATAGCCAATTAATAGCTTTAAATCATACTCCCTCCGTATTTTAATATATGACGCCGTTGACTTTTTGATAAACGTTTGACCATTCGTTTTATTCAAAATTTTTGTGCAAATATGAAAATATTTATGTCATGCTTAAAGAACATTTGATGATAAATCAAGTCACAATAAAATAAATAATAATTACATAAATTTTTGAATAAGACAAATGGTCAAATATTGGATAAAAAGTCAACGGCGCCATACATTAAAATATGGAGGTAGTATATAGTAAATTTAATAGCCAATTCATATAATAGTTACCTATAAACATATACTACACTATTAATATCTGGTCCTACTTATCATAAATACATTGTATCTTGGAATCCGTGATGGTCTTCTCTCTTATCTTTTATCTCATATAAATGTATTTATAGCTGACTTATAGTGTGCTATTGTACCTGCTCTAATTGTATATCTATGCACTCCTTCCCAGAAAAAAACATATTTCTGACTAAATCTAAACATAGGTTACGTTCAGATTTATCGTAGCAAGAAGTTGATTTTTTTAAGACGGAGGAAGCATGTATGTGTAGGATCTAATTAAGCTATGAATCTGCATCATGATGAATTGGTACTAGATAGTACTCATCATGCATGCATGGAGGCAGGCATGCATGCAAAAGACGATCAATCGATCGATCGACCATGCATGCATGCATTGCAGACGTCGTCGTCGTCGTCTACTATATGTATGTACGTGTTTGCAGAATTATTATTCAGAGCTAGAAAAAATAATTAAGGCTAATTTAATTAGGATCGATATAATGATTCGTACTGAAAGTGCCGAGGTAGAGGTCCTTGTTGCCGGAGACTCGGCCGATGCGTGCCTGCCACCGTCCGTGCTGATGATGCCTGCATATAAGCAAACCAAAAAACACATGTACAAATTTTTATTCTGAATTTTCTCTTCTTCTTCTGAATTTACGTACGTATATCTTTCTCACCAATGCAAAATGTGTACTTTTCAGTAAGGAAATGTGCAGTACATAAACAAATGTACCGATCGATCGATAGATCGATGTGTGTGTGTGTATGTATTGTTACCTTGTGACACCACGGTACATGGAAGCTCCCCGTGAGAAACCGCTACTTTTCCTGCATCCACACACCAAAACAAACACACATGTTCAGACTTCTTCAGAGTTCAGACACTGGCCGGTAGGAACGTTAACTATAGTAGTACTATACTACTACCATTCTCTGCACATTCACATGCATATATTTATAGGAACTTGCACGTTACCACAAGTAACAAATACTTTTAAAGTTTGCATCATTATATTGTTGTTATTAACCATTATCCCAAATTAGAGGAAGATCTCCTTAATTAATTAGTACACGAATAATAGTTCAACAATATGTATATTACACATTGAGTCAAATTTGTTTGTACTTAATCACATAGTGCATACTATTCGTAGTCAAATATAAACTTGTATGTTAATGAAGTGACATACCTAATATTGATTTATCATATAAAAAAAATATTTTGATGACATTTGAATGGTATAAAGAAAACTAGGGGATGATATCCCCTCAATAGATAAAAATCCACTTCTCGTAGTTTTATGTGCATCTCTTCAAACAAGTACATATTCTCATTATGCACTCGTCACTCTCTATCTTAAATATAGCACTAGCTAATTTGTCCATAACTATAATCCATGTATTATTCATCATTTTGATTATTGGTTACTATATATATATATATATATATATATATATATATATATATATATACACACACACACACACACACACACACACACACACACACACACACACACACACACACACACACACACACACACACACACACACACACACACACTTTCACAATGTACAGCTCATCATTTCTTATTGCATATCAATATTAAAACATAAATCCAGATATTCCATGAATGGCTTTGAAAGTGTCTAAAATGTGTCCTACATTGTGGTGCGGATGACACTGTACATGCTGTGGTGTTACCCATTTAGTTGACTTTGTGCAAGCATGACATTAACTATGTATGATGCAGGTATATATACATCCATTTGTCTAGTCATTTTTCTGAAGAGTGCAGATTAAGTGATTAATTTATTCAGCATTTTGGCAACAAGAACAATCTGTTTTTATGAATTACCTCCTTAAGTGAGCCACATACTCCTGCCTTGTCATGTTCTTCATCTCCTCCAGCTCCTCCTGGTAGTCCTCCAGCTGCATACATACATACATATGCATGCACATTATTCAATTAACCAACTAATTAATTAACAGTACTTACAGAATCAAAAATTTTAATTGAATTGATTAATTACCGGGAAGTTGATGTGTGTGGAAGGGCCCCAATACTTGAGCGCCGCCAGGTCATACGCTCTCGCCGCTTTCTCCTCCATGTCATACCCACCTAATCACCCCCAACCAAAGTAAAAGAACTTTTTTTATTTATTTTTACTTTTTACCACGAGAACATTTTTACCATGTAAAGTTACCACATGAGGAATGTAATAACACTTACCGAGATAAACTGATCAGGGAGGCGCAGCAATATCAGCAGTAGTACACACAAAACCAGAAGCGAAGAACAGGAGCAAGCTTGTGAGTGATTAGTTAGGCAGTAATTACGATTAAAATGATGCTAATGATGGTGAATAAGAAAAGGTGATTAATTAATTACCTTGCCTCCCTTTCCTGGTCTGGCCTTCCTTCTTGCAGCTGTTGTCCCACAGGTGCGCCTCATATCGCCCAGTCCACCTATGCCTGCTTAATTAAAAACACCTCCACTAATTAACACGCTAATCACTCTGCTTAATTAATTAATATTACCAGGTAAATTAGTTAATCATCTAGCTAATTACTATTAGTAATTGAGTTGATTTGTACCTGGTGACGCCTCTGTACTGCGACGTCCTCTGACCGAACGTGTCGATGGACTTGCGGTGGTGCACCGGCTGCTTCTGCCCGCCGCCGCCGGCGCCGCCGCGCTTGCGGCCACCGTCGGCGGCTGCCACGGCCGCCATGCCGTACTCGCCGGCGGTGATGCAGCTGGAGAGGGAGCCGGAGCTCATGGACAGGGCGAGCGGGTGGTGCAGGTGCTGCGCGGCGGTGGCGGAGGGGAGGACGTTCTCGGCGGCGTTCGCGTCGGCGGCGCCCGTGGCGTACGCGGTGGCGGCGCCGCGCGCGGCCACCCAGCTCGCCATGGCGGCCGCGGCCGCGGCCGCCTCCTCGTCGGCGGCGGTCACGAGCGACGGCGCGGCCGGGCCGCCGTACAGGTCGCACGCCTGGAGGTAGCCGTGTTGGCCGTGCCCGGCGGCGGCGGCGCCGCCTCCGCCGTAGTAGAAGCTGGAGGTGTTGTCCAGGCTCAGCGCCATCGCCGGCTGCGCCGCGCCGAGGAAGTCCTCAAGCTTGGGCCCTGAGCAATCAATCAACCGATCGATCGATCACGCCATGAATCCAAGAAACCAAGAAATGGATGGATGGATGGATCGAACAAGCAAACGCAGTAGCATACCGTGATGATCTTGATCGGTTCTCCGGAGAGCCTCCATGATGCAGAGCGAGCCGTCGGACTTGAGCGGCATGGAGGCGAGCTGGGAGTAGTACCCATTGGTGGCGGCCACGACGTCGCCGGCGAGCCCATACGCGGCGGCGGCGGCGGCGGTGGTCACCGAAGGGAAGAACAAACCATGTTGCTGCTGCTGGTGATGCTGCTGCTGCTGCTGCTGCTGCTGTTGCTGTTGGTGGTGGTGCACGTGGTGGTGTTCGTCCATGGTGGAGGAGGCCATGTGAGGCGACAGCGAGAAGCCCAGCCATCCACTCGCCGCCGCGTTCGTGCCGCCATTGCCATTGTTGCTGTTCGTCATCGTGCAAACAAACTGAGGCTAATCAAATCAAGAAACAAACGAGCTGGAGATCGATCGTGTCAGTGTCAATGGCGGTGGGCTGCGACAGATCGATCAACCAATCACTGCAGAGGCAACTCCCGCCATTGCCGCGATTGGATTGGAGCTATGGATGGATGGATCGATCGATCAAGAAGAATGGTGGATTGATCCGAGGAGTGGAAGAGGAGGAGGAAGAAGAAGTGAAGTGGAGAAGTGAGGGGGTGAGGTTTTGAGTTTGAGCTTGGCTTTAAAGTAAGCAAAAGGAATGAGCTGCAGCTTATTACTCTCTTGCCCTTGACCCACACACATTTAACACTACACACACATACAACATATATGCAACAAAAAAATTAAAGAAAAAAGGATAGAAATGAAATGCTTGGATGGATAACATTCTCTTCTACATCCCTCAGCTTTGCTTGGGATCTGTGTAGCAACCAACAACAAAGAAAAAACCAACCTCCCCTTCTCTCTCTGAAACTCTCTCTCTCTCTCTCTATCTTCTCTCTCTGTCTGTCTGTCTGAAAGAAAAGAAAAGAGATTGAAAGAAAGAAAGAAATGTGAATGAGCATGTATGGTGTTGTTGGTGTAGTGCACAGTAGAGCTAGTAGTATTGGTGTACAATTAGATGCATGTCTACATATGTGTATGTATGGGTGTAGGTATGTGGTAGAGCAACCTTTTTGTTGTACTAGGTCCAGCATGCAGAGGCATATCTATATGCAAACTATACTAGCTGGTATAGTACTGCACAACTAGTCACCTCACAACAGTTGAGAGCTGAGCATGCATCCTCCTTCACTCTGACCTCAGTGCAATGCAATGCCATCCCAACTGTTTTGTGTGATCTTAAAAAAAGGTTGAGTTGAACATGCTTCAATTGCTTTTTCAAGAAAAAGAAGAACAAGAAGAATAAGAAGCAGCAGATTAATTACAGGTAATACAATGTTAGTATTCTGAAGTTCTTTATGCTATTGGAAAGGGTTTTTTGTGTTAACTCCATGAGCTGTATATATACTTGTACTGAAGTGATATATGTCTTGTAGTATATATTAATCATGAGGTATATACATATGTACATATACCTGGCAACACCTCCCAAATGACAGTAAAAAGGTGATCAACAGTAGAATATACACTACTCTAGGACTACTTCTGCACAGCAATACTACTCTACTGCACAAAGTTCAGAGGGAGAACAGAAATGAATAATTCAGGGAAGAGAAGAGGAAAGAGTGAGAATATGGTAAGAGTATATCCAGCTAGCTAAACTGTTCCTTGGCTCTGAACTCTCATGGCCAAAGTACAAAGGCCATTTACTTGTATTGGATTAAATACGTATGTACAGAGGCCACTTGAATACAGTGGTATACGTACACCATTCCACTTGTGTAACTCTGCTGCATTGACAACACATGGGATCTTGTGTCTACTCAATACTCCTATTTGCTTGCATATGCAATAACATGTGTACACACACAGACAGACAGTTGCAGTAAAAATACACACGCAACAGTCACATATAGATCAAGATCTTCAATTCATTCCAGCAGTTATATTTCAGGCATAAATGTTGGCTAGCTGTGGATATTTGGCACATCCAAACTGTAATGTGTCTGATCTTTAAATAATTCTATATATTGGCAATGCCAACTAGCCCCTTGACTTTCATACATTGAACCCAATTATTGCTCATCTATATAACTCCACTTCACTATCCTTTATTATTTACTACAGTTGAAAACTGCAGACAGCTGCTAGTCGCTAGCAATATATATAGAGAGGAGTACTGCCTTGAAATTACACAATAATGTTGCAACTATTCATTCTGATCAGAATTAATTAATCAAAGTTCTTCTGGAAAAAAAAAGGCAAGTAGCTAGCTATAGGTGTTGCAACCAATGGATCATATTAAAGTGCTAGCTAGAATAATCATGCATGGCCATGGCCAATTGTGATCGATATGATATTGCTTCATGCCATGAAACAGAAAGAAGGTTCTTGGCGTATCTACAAGAGCCCATACATATATACACCAAACCTGAAGATTCAGGCTACAGTATGATCATACAGTATTATTACAGAGGCAAGTTCTGTAAATAGAGGAGGGTCAGAGAGGGTTTGGTACATACATATACTACATGTCAATATGAGATATGATAGTGAAGTGAGCTTGCAGCTTGCTACAATGTAACATGTATCTCTGCATGCATGTATGCTGCAGAGAACACTGATCCTTGCTTGATAGATTAGCTAGCTTGCAGATTGTTTTCTTTTGAATTTGGGGGTAGTCAACACCTGCAGACAAAAAAGAGAGATGTCGGTCAATAGGATGTTCTCATGAATGATGTAGGGAAGAAGGGGCCATGGAGATAGATAGATAGAGATGGAGAGAGAAAGAAAGAGAGAAAGAGAGAGAGATGAAAGGCTGTTGCTAATTGGGAGGTATCAGTACTATTCACCATCTCCTTTCAGCATGCTTGGCTACTTGTTGGCAGCCACACTCTCTCTATCTGGGCCCTTCTTTGGACTTTTGCACAAGATGAATGAGAGTGTAGCTAGAGCTAGCTCCAAATCAAGAGAAACAATGGCCTGGAATCTTTTTTTGATCAAACATTGGCTGCACCATATGAGTGCAATGCATCTTCATATATATATAGTATGGAATACTTCTTCTTTTACTCAACTTTTTTTATTTAAAAAAAGTGTACTTTGAGGTGTTATATATGGTAAAAGTGGCTGTTTTGTTTCCAAGTTTTGTCAAAAGGAAAAGTTTAGCATGGCCTAACAAATTTTGCTTTTTACACCCTCTTTTGTAAGTTTTAACTCAACATCTATACTATAGGAGGACTTCTTCTCAATGGCTTGCATCTGCAGAGGGAAACATCCTAAGACAGATATTCTCTGGTACATGATTACGTAGGGAGGTCTAAGAGGAAAAAATGAGTGTGCTTCGCAAGGTTAGGAGCTCAGCCTAATTTCTTAAAGATTCTCCATGGGATCCTCTCCACTATCATGGTTTGTGGCTCCCCATATGCATGCATGTGATTTTGTTGGCATGTCCTCCTGATGGACACATATCTATGCTTCTTTAAAAGACTAATGGGTGGTGATGAATAGTGTTTGCAATCACCTACCACCAATACCAATGGAATCTTCAAATGGACTCATTATAGACATAGACATGTACAGATACATATTACATGTAAAAAAACAACATGTAGCTTGATATATATGTAAAACAAAATGATGAAATATTGATTGCAATGGAATATTTTTTATTATGATTTTTGGGGCTTTAGAGTATATGGTGGTTCTCTTTTTTTTTTAATTCTGATGCAAAGTACGGGCATTCAGCGAGTACAAGTAAATTTAAATATTAGCCTATGCATTGAAATGTGGATTATATATCTGATATGACTGTTCAGTGAATTAGCCATCTTTTTTCACAGCTTAAGCTTAATTTCTAGTGAACTATATAAAGTGAAAAAAGAAACTGCAATTCGGTTGGTTGCCCTACATAAAACTCACACGACTAAATTTTATCCATTTTGATGGTCCATTTCTTTTAAAATTGCAAGTGTTGAAGCATGCATATTCTAAAATTATATAATAGTATACACGCATATTCTGCATTTCTGTTTAGTAGAATTCTAGCTAAATTACAGCAGTATGAGCTATATATGTGTGTATGGATTGACAAAGATTTGAGCTTTTGACACTGTGAAAGTGTGAAAAAACATGGCATATTGGCATATATGTATGTCACAGAGGATCCAAGATTGAAGGAATAATGGATGGAATGGAACTAGGGATCCATGCACCCACTCCCCTCACTCAGCTTTGATTAAGGTAATGATGGCAAATGGGCAGCTGCTGCTGCCTCTGCTGCTGCCTTTTGCTTGGAGCTAGCTAGCTACCAGCACAGTGTGGAGTACTGCATACAGTTCACATCACATTCAGGCCACCCTCAGTTAAGTCTCAACTTGAAGAAGCCAACCCATGCATATACATACATCTAGCTAGCTGGACAATATTGCAAATGCAATGCAATGGTGGTGAGCTTAAATGGGGTAGAAAAGGAAAGCAACCAAGATAAATGGAGATCCTCCTTTTGCTCCATGCTCCAGTCCCTTTCATGCAGGGGGGGTTGGGACAGCTTCTTCAGGGTCTTAAAGAGGCTTTGCAGTGTTGATCTGGAGTGGACTACTAGCTAGCTACTCCTATATTACTCCTCCCTTGCATTTATGCATTGCATGTATGCTCCTATATCCCTGTCTCTATGCATGGGCAATGGACAGTTCAGAATATTTTCCTTGTGCCTTTTCTTTTTCAATGCCATAAGTTAGTACTCCATCACTGGCCCCTTTGGATGAAATGTCATTGTTTGCATTTATCTCCAGAACATAGCTGGGTCCATTTGGGAAGCATACAGTATTAGCATTACATTAATTGGGGGCTCGATAGCTCCACCACTTGGCTAATATATACACCCTTTAAATTGGTCTGAATTGTGTAAGTTTGTTTTGGACATTATTACAGTCTCGTAAGACAGCATTTTGTTTGTAGTTTCTGTAAAAACATGTTATTTGAATGTGCAAATATCTTACATATAAACCTAGTAGTATCAACCTTATGTTTTCAATCTATGTACTTCCTTCGTTTCACAGTGTAAGTCATTCTAGCATTTCCCATATTCATATAGTTGTTAATAAATCTAGACGTATTTATATGCCTAGATTCATTAACAACTATATGAATGTGGGAAATGCTAGAATGACTTACATTGTGAAACGGAGGGAGCAGTAGTCTTTGTGCATTATATATAGCCAAAGCCAAAAAAAAACTTTGGCTAATACAAAACCTAAAATGACTTACATTTAAGAGTAGTATGAGTATATAACTATCTTATTCTTTAAAAATAAATTGGTTAAATGTTTGAGAAATTTTACTGTCGTTAAGAGGTACTAGGGGTACCAAAAATTTTAGTGCTAATTTCACTACCTCCTGATAGCTAACTGAGATGCTAGGATGTACTAAATTTTACACTAAAAAGTGATACATTCTCAGGGATGGTAAAATCAATATAAATATCTACTAAATATTCTAATTAGATCAATAGAGATGTGTTTTGTTTTCATCTTTATTCTTTTCTTTTTCTTTCTTTAATTTGACCATGTACCGGCCAAAAGAATCAAACTAGACCATTCGATCTAAAAAGCAAACTAATCAATAGGTCCACATGGACAACAGTGAACTACAAAAGCAACTTCAGGTACGTAGACAAAATCCTATAGTACTCCCCATGTATCGTCCTCCATACAATAAAAAACCTATCGATCGATCAGAGAGGACAATATATATATAACATATATATATATATATATATATATATATATATATATATATATATATATATATGTATGTATATATATGTATATATATGTATGTATGTGTCTGGCTTTCATAGGACTTTGGCACGATAATGTGA